TGCCCCACCTCCAGGGTGACAATTCCTGTGCCCTTGTTTCCTCCCAGGTCTGTGAAACATGGGTCACAGGGAGCTGAAGAAGAGGAGGGGTCTCTCCAACACTTGGAGACTCCTCAGCAGCTCCTCCTCCAGGTCTGCAAGGAACAAATCCAGACCCAAAGACACCAGGTCCCAGAAGCCAAAACCTGAGATGAGGCCAACAGGAGGCAGCCTTTGCATCTGTCTTTTGCCAGATGGGCTGGGTGGGGACACCAGACATGGGATGGGAGACATGAGGCACAGGCAAGGTAAAAAGTGACTCTGGCTGCTCCAGCCACAGCCAAGCTACTGCCTTAGCTTCCTGCCCTCAAATCTGCAAAGGGTGAGTTTTCTTTCACTTTAATGTTTTTGAGACAGAGTCTCACTCTGATGCCCAGACTGGAGTGCATTGGGGCGATCTTGGCTCACTGCAACCTCCGCCTCCCGGGTTCAGCCGATTTCTCCTGCCTCAGCCTCCCAAGTAGCAGGAATTACAGGTACATACCACCACTCCTGGCTAATTTTTGTATTTCTAATAGAGACGTGGTGTCACCATGTTGGCCAGGCTGGTCTCAAACTCATGACCTCAGGTGATCCACCTGCCTCGGTCTCCCAGAGTGCTGGGATTATAGTCATGACACCACACCCGCCCACAAAGGGTGAGTCTCTCCTGCCTGCTGAGCTAGACTGGCATGGGAGTATCGGAGCCTGCAGGAAATGCCCCACTCTTGGCTGCTCTGCCTTGATCCTGGAGTTCTGGGATACCCCTGTCCCCCAGGACCTGGTACCCCCACCCTGTTCACCCCTGCCACCTAGGTCTGCTGTTTAGGCTGCCACCACACCTCCCTCTGCCCCCTGGCTGTCCCTGGGGGACTCATGCCTCTGCCTGATCCACCATGGTCCTGATGAACTCCCAGAGGAGGCCCGAGAATGTGGAGCAGGTCAGCCGCATCCACAGCCTGAGGTCCGTGACCACCTGTGTGAGGAGGAGGTGGTGCTCAGGGAGGCTGACATGCTGCTTCCCTGGGGATCCAGGACCCTGCTGAGCTCTAACTGCCCCCTGGGCTCCCCAAGTTTGGGACAGCATGAAGCAGGGGGTGGAAGGGCGAGAGGAACCTGGTCATTCCAGCTGTACGACCTGTGTTTGGCTTTCCTGCAGTTTTGCCAATGAGCTCCTGGAGGTGAAGGGAGGCCCAGGGTCATGGTCTATGTGTCCAGAGGGGTCAACCCAAGAAGGGCAGGGTTCATCAGCCCTGCCAACCTCCCTCCCTACCCCAGGGTCCTGGGACCTGCCCAAATCTCTTGCCATTTCTGCTGAGGCCTTTTGTTCTTTTTATTTTTTTTTTGTAATTTCTTGTAGTTATGGAACCTCGTTATGTTGCCCAGGCTGGTCTCGAACTCCTGGCCTCAAGCAATCCTCCCACCTCAGCCTCCCAGAGGCTAGGATTATAGGCATGAGCCACTGCACCTGACCCATGTCCTGAGGTCTTGGCTGCTGTCTGCCAGTGGTGAAGTAAACAGAATGATGTGCTAATGCTCAAAGTGGCCCAGGGCCGGGTGGAGAAGTGAGGCCAGGAGAGTGGTGGCGCTGCAGGAGTCATACCTTCAGGCAGCGCTCCTTGGCTGTGTGGATGTCCTCATCATTGGGGTTGAGTTTGAAGGTGCCCTGGGCCCACTCCTCAGCCACCTATAGCAGGTGACAGCAATGCCGTGGGTCAGGTGAGCAGGTATCAGCAGCCAAGAGAGCCCCTGCCCTGGTCCCACCCGATCCCTGATGACTGACTGTCTCTGTGTGAGTCCTGGAAGCACACCCTGGGAGGGGGCATCTCAGGCCCAGCACACCTTCACCCATGAGCCATGTGGACCACCAAGCTCATTAAAGGATGGAGAGAGGTGGTCATCAAAGCACACAGTTAAATAACACTTGAGTACACAATTAGTCCAATGTGAAACCACAGATAGACAACACTGCACTATTTGCTCAGGGATTTGGTGGGAACCTGGGGCCACAGGGAGGGGCCTCGGGTGGGGCTTGGGCTGAGGTGAGTACCTTGTCTAGGCCATGGAGTATCTGGTCCACCTTGGCCTTGGTGAGGAGCCCTGCCTTCTCCAGGCTCCTGCTGTAGGCTTTGCTGCCTTGAATATCCACCTCCCACAGGTGCCAGTCATAGTCGATGGACGCATTGAACTTCTCCATGAGGGGGTCCACTGTGCTCACAGAACGGCAACCTCACAGCTTCCTGCTCTGGCCAGGAGAGAAGAAACAATTAGTCTCTTCTCCACTCCCAAGAACAGTGCCTCTTGCAAAGAATTCTCGGGAAACTTATCAAGGCTGTTGGTAGCGGGGCATCAGATCATTCTAACTGGGCAGACAAGGAGGCTGAGACCTTGCCAGGGTCACCCTGGGGGTGAGTGTGGGAACGTGACTGGACACCAAAATTTGGGTTTTTTTTTTTTTTTTTGAGGTGGAGTCTTGCTCTGTTGGCCAGTCTGGAGTGCAATGGCATGATCTCAGCTCACTGCAACCTCTGCCTCTCAGGTTCAAGTGATTCTCCTGCCTCAGCCTCCCAAGTAGCTGGGACTACAGGCATGGGCCATCACACCCAGCTAATTTTTTTTGTATTTTTAGTAAAGAGGAGGTTTCACTATACTGGCCAGGATGATCTCCATCTTTTGACTTCGCGATCCACCTGCCTTGGCCTCCCAAAGTGCTGGGATTACAGGCATGAGCCACTGCGCTGGGCCCCTAGCTTTGTATATGTTGATTGCTATTAGCCTTTTTCTCTTATGTATGCTTCTTGTTTGTTTGCTTTCTCATTTTTGCATTAGGATAGTGTCTTGAAAATAAGTCTGAGGTTGATAAATCAATTTTATTCTGAAACTTTTAAGGGGTCAACCTTTCTCCTCTGTGTTGGTAAAAAAAGTGTATAATTTTCCAGAGTTGAGTCTTTTCAGTTGTCAGCCATTTTAACATATTTTTAGAGTTTCCTCCTTTGACATATCCATAGAGCCTTTTTCAAGAAAGATCCAGATATTTCTTTTCATTCCAGGAAAGAAACAGAAGCTATCTCTACCTGTCAATCAATCAATCAATCAATCACTTGTCTTTCTATCTCTAAATGTCAGAGCAGAATGGAAAACAACACCCTATGGAGTATATGATACATTTTAGCATAAAGACCACCCAGAAAGTAAGAACCCCTTCTCCCACTCTTTCACTGTGTCCACCCCATCCATCAGTGTCCACATTCATTTGTTTATTGTTGTAATGCCCTTTCTGCACAGTCTGCACCCTCTCTACCTCTGCATGGAATATGCATGCTTCCCAGATTTATATTGTTGGTTCTAACTCAAACTTTATAGCCTAGCTTAAATGTCATTTATTCAGAAAAGTCTTTTCTTCAGAAAAGTTTTCTCAGATCTTCCCATTTAATTTTCCTTGTATCATTTAATTATCACTCATCACATTATGAGTTCTTTTTTAAATTACAATTATTTGGTTAATGTTTCCAACCTCCATTAGATAGTAAGCCTTTTAGTGCCAGAGACTATGTTTATTTGTTTGTTTTGTTTTGTTTTGTTTGAGATGGGGTCTTGCTCTGTTGCTCAGGCTGGAGTGCAGTGGCATGATCAT